ACTCACTCATAGACCACAAGGTTGCGAGTTTAATACTATCCAGGGTTCAGGCTAGACTCAGGCCTGCATCCTTCCGAGGCTGCTAAAATGAGTACCCAGCTTGTTGGGGGCAATTAGCTTACAGCTGTAAACCGCATAGACACTACATAGCGCGGTATGAAGCGGTACATAAATGAAGCTGCTTTGTTGGACTATGACTCTGGAGACCAGGATCCGAATTCCTACTCAGCCATGGGATACCCACTGAGTGACTCTGGGCAAGTCACACACTCTGAACCTCAGAGGAAGGCAAAGACACCTCCCCCCTAAACAATTATTGTCAGGAAAACCCTGTGATAGATTCACTACAGGGTCACCATAAATCAGGAACAACTTGAAGGCACACAACAACAAAATTCAATCAAGGAAGCAGCAGCCCTGAGTTTGCAAGACCTGAGCTGAGCTGATGACAGGGTGACTTGATAGGGTTGCCATGAGTCAAAGTCAAACTGGCAGGAGTTAACAGCAACAACAAAAGGAGCATAGTAAACTGAGCACCACATTTGCATTCTGCAAGGCACTGTTGGCACTACAAAGGTTATTACTGCATTAGAGATCACAGAGATTATAAAATCCTGTGATGGAATCTGGCATCAGAATGCAACATCATTTATATGAAGCTTAATCAGAGACAGTGGGAAGAGACAGAATTAACCCCTACTCACGTTCTCTCACAGTTTGAGAAGAGAACAAAGAGTGTACTGTTTTTGGAGTCAACATTTAATTTTACTGATAATCAACTAAGGTAACTCTGGTGATCTATGTGGAAGAAAAGATAACATCAGCTGTTCAGCAACAAAGAAACAAAGTGAACCAAAAGCTTACATATTACTCTATGTTAACACCTCCCAATTTCAATGAATGCCTTCAACTCAGCTTTTTCAAAACCACAAATTTATCTGCTAAACATGTGTCAATAGATTATAGTCAAAACAGACACAGCACAAAAGCATGCCAGAGAATCCTATCTCATGGAAGCCTAAAGAGATTTCCCCAAAACACCCAGTGAAAACTGAATATCCATCCGCCTAGGGTGCTGGAGCCCTTTCATATTACAGTACATAATTAAAGCACTATGATTCCACTTTAACTGTCATGGCTACATCCTATGGAAACCTGGAATTGCTCTTAGAAATTACACCATTACCATTTCTAGGAAATACTATTTCCTGGAATGCTATTAGCTATCCTAAGAAGTCACATGGATTTCATGTGACAGATTTCACAGGAGGGGGATTGGTGGTAGCCCTCCTTGGCTAGAGGAAGAAGGGCTTTTGTTATGGTGTTCCAGGCCTGAAAACAGCAGCAAATAGTGTTACCATTAACAGATTAGTAATGTGTAACATAACCCAGTGACATTTGCAGGGGCTTATAATGTTAATAGTAATGCTGTGGAAGAAGAAATAAGTTATCCAAACTGTAATAAATAAATAATTACTTACATACATATACAGGCTGAGTCTCCCTTATCCAAAATGCTTGAGACCAAAAGTGTTTTGGACTTTGGATGGGGGGTGGGATGCCTGATTTGTATGCAAGTATGTAATGAGATATCTTGGGGATGGGGCCCAAGTTTAAACACAAAATTCATTAGTGCTTGATATACATCTTATACATATAGCCTGAAGGTGATTTTATACAATATTATTAATAATTTTGTGCATGAAACAAAGTTTGTGTACACTGAACTATCACAAAGCAAATCATTATTGCAGCCACTCAGTTTTAGTTTTAGGAATAAAAATAGTTTTAGGTTTCAGAATTCTGGAGGAGGGAGATTCAACCTGTATTTTAAAAAATAAAATATTATACACCATAGGCTCTCAGGACTGCATACAAATAAAATCATTTTAAATAATTTTAAATTTTAAATAATAAAAAGTGTATATGGACTTAAATCATATTTAACAATTTAACAAGTTAAAAGAAGCATGAATGGTTTAAAAACTATTTGTGAATAAAACTTTGGATATATTCAGTTGGGGCCCAAAAACTTTAAATGTTTTAAACTGGCATTGGAATAAAATCAGTGTCAGTGATGCAGCGGGCCACAGCCTTTTCAGAAAAAGCTTTTGGAACATTTTAGGGGGTGGGCTGGTAGAAATCCATTATTAAAATACAGTATGTCCTGTTAAGTGTTATACTTCCCCTACAAAGCTGAAATTTGGACTAGTTTTTTTTTCTGATAAATTGTTTTGGCAGTTTTTTTCAGCTTTGCTTTCTGAGATCTGAACCATTATCTCAGCCTGTTCAACTCCATTTAATGACAGATGGTGGCCTTTTATCTCTGTTCCAAGTGCAGTGGCAATGCTAGTAGCAGCAGTAAAAACCCATTGCTGATAATTAATGGGGAACACAGCTCAGACAATAGTTCCATTTTAGGGTAAATTGGTGATATTCAGTATCCCAACACGCAAGAGCTAGAATCCAGTTGGTTATTCCCAATTAGAATAGTTCAACTTTTCAATTGTGAGTCAACACATTAGTAAATGCTATTGATTCAATGGGCCTACTTTAATTAGAAGTGAGAATAGGAGTGAGGCCAAAGTATAATGACACTCCTGATGTTTTGGACTGCAGCTCTCACAATGAGTCGTGTTGGTTAGGACTGATTGTTGTGGGTCAAAACATCTTGAGGGCTGGCTCTTGGCCTCCTAATAGAACTTGTATTTCTTTGGTAAGCTATGGGACAAGATCGTCTTTTGGGGGCAATTTCAGTGGGCCCTGACTGCTGTTTGCTGCAGCAGACTGCAGAGGGGAATGAATGACAGGGCTGGAGGAGGGGGTGGATGAAGTATCCATTGTAATGTCCTCTGCTTTATTAACTCTGCTTCATCTGTGCCACAAGCTCCCATGTACCTAAAAAACCAATGTACGGTGTGATATGAAGGAGAAAATAAGTGACCACTACATCTGCAAAAAATTTTTTGCACACCTACCAGATTCTATCAAGTAATAGATACTCTTTTGGTTTCTGTGCTTAGCTTTGCATGTGGGTGATAAATACACTTTTTTTAAAAGATGGAATTAAATGAAACCTGGGTGTATCTACCTCTGGGATCATATGCCATTCTTCTCTCATTTTTCACACCTGCACCTCTTCCAAGGGCATCATCAGTGCCCCTGATACAACTGGAAGTAGCATCACATCACATCACTTCTAATTTCATTTTCAGCCCCTTATTAGACATTTTTGTGTATATCGGAAGGTTTTATGAAATGTGCAGAATTTGGGGGCTGTAGCAGTGATGATCTGAGGGCAATTAATGCGACTACGTTTCCTCATATCTATTGTATGCCAAAATAGGAATTTTTGGTGCCCATAATAAAAGAACATCTTGTACAGGCAAAGAACCAGCAAATCAATAATGTATTCTTTTTCTATTAGAACAAGTGAAATTATAGGATGAATTGTTGATATTCAGAACAAATGTCTTAACACACAAGTCACGTTGAAACAAAGAGAACAGGATTTATACTGTACATACTTTTCTATTTCATTTTTGACTGCTGCTAATCCATATAAATATAATACTTACTACCCGCCTCAGTTTTCAGAATGCATCAAAAGCATGGGGGGAATTACCCAGAGTGAACTCAGACTCTGAATCGTGTGCTTTTTTTCCCCTTTTCAAATTAAGCTTGCCTTTCTGTTTTTGCTCACTACAGATCTTATTTTGAGAAATACCTTAAGGGCTCAATCTGCAAGGTACAGAGTGTCTCCTCCCAACAGCACACA